CAAGTCCCTACAGTGTTAAAAGCATGGCTTTTTAACGGATTTGCCCACTACATACACGCGAGGTGGGTAAGTAACTTCTAATTTGCCTGTGTGCGCTACCTACCTAGTATTATCATCATTATTTTTTTTTTCGTTTATTTTTCATGAAATCAAAAGAATAATATAACAAAAAGGTCTCTCGCCGAGTGTTTAACATGAAAACAAAACCATTACAAACGTTGCGCAACGTTTAAATGTAAATTATGCGTTTTAATTGTGCTCGCACACACATACACAATGACTCGAGCCTGACCTAAAGAGACGCGATCTGTCACGGTATTTCGGTTCACCGATTAACCGTCGTTTTTCGGCTCGTAATAATATAAACGATATTCACACCCATTAGTAGCATAATAATAATAATAATATAATGGCGAATTGTCGTATTATATTATTATTGGCGGTGGTGCGAATAGTTTGTGTGTGGAGGGGAAAACCGAAAGGAAAGAAAAACCGTCGTCGATCGATGTGTCGACATTTCCAGTCGATACCCTAACCTAACCATTATCTAATGTTGCGTGCAAAGTAATAATTTAGTTTCTCCGTTGCTGTGTGTACCTACCTATCTATATAATATACATATTATTTACAATGCACGGCTCTTGGCCGCCCTGACACGATTAATGGTGATAAAATGTTAAAATATCATACAGACGACAGTTGCGCACCACCGATGACGCGTTACTATAATTATTATTGTTCGTAGGTATACACATCACAGACCCAAACCCCAATAACGATTGGTCCGAACCAGTGATTTTGGAGTCGAGTAAGACGATGCTAGGCATTTATCGGAAAATCCGTTTGTGAAAATCGTCATTCTGTTCTGCCGAATAAAAAAGCGACTAAAATGAGGGAAATATACAGCACATATATTAGTCCACCCTCAGCAGCAGTACAATCTATATTGTTATTAATACAATTTTTACCTACCTAATATTATATTTCGGTAATAACAAAGTTACGAGAAAAACAATACGACGGAGGTACCTCCTACTTCACTCGTGTTCTATTATAATAATAATATTATAAATTTACCCGAAAATGAAAACGCAGAAGAAAAACTATATTGTACTATTAAAGGCGATTGTTTCGAGTACCAGATCAATATACGTTATAACGATGAACGGTTATTAATGTAAACACTAGCGCGTTTTCAAAAAACGTATTACAAAGGTATTATGTTTGACTAGTAATACTCAAGTCGTCGGGCAATAAAAATAAGGTCTAAAAAGTTTTTCAATTATATTTATCGCGTCGTATAGGTGGGGCTGTAAACTGCAGTACCTACTCAGTTCTGATATAATAATAATAATAATATTACGACGACGAACGGAGAGAGGCGAAGAGAAGAGAGAAAATGATATAGGTACGTGTGAACCGAGAGCATTGTGTGTGTGACGATAGCGTCTTAGAGACGCTTCAAAAAATTATTGAGAAAACAAATTGTAAGTATATAAATATAATAATATTATGCATACATATATGTATTATAAATATAGTAAAAGATATGCGCATATAGAAAAAGGATTAAGGATAACATACGAATTGATTCAGTCGCAGACAACGTCACATCGTTATAAAGTTGGTACTACGTCGTTAAAATATTATTATTTATATAATATATTATACCTATAGCAGTTGTAGTTATAACATTATTATTATAAGTTCATCGTAGAGCTACACAGTGACCGCTGCAACGACGTCGATGACTCAAGTTTGGCTCATGCGCATGCGCAGTTGTTATTGTTTTTTGCTAAACTTCCATTTCTTGTGCTCGTCATGGCCACCCTTCTTCGCGTAGTCCTTCTTGTGCCCGTACTTCTCGTCGTGTCCCGCTGCCTTCTTGTGGCCCTTGTGCTCTTTGTGGTGCTTGCCGTGATGGTGTTTGCCCTTCTTGCCCTTATGGTCGTGATGGTGTCCGGCGTGCTTATGGCCCTTCTTGTATTTCTTGCCTTCCTTATGTCCGTGCTTGTGCTCGTAGCCACCGTGCTTCTTGTGGTGTCCCGAGTCATGGTGCTCGTCGTAGAACTTCTTGTTCTTCTTGAACTCGTCTAACTTGTGTACCTCGTGTTTTCCCTTGGTGCTGTGTCCCTTCTTGTACGCTCCCTTGTCTTCGAACTTGTGGCCCTTTTCGCCCTTCTCGCCCTTGTGGTGGTCATGGTAATAGCCACCCTCGTCGTGGTGCTTCTTCTTGTGGCCGCCGTGCTCCGCAAAGTGTTTCTTCTTGTCCTCCTTCTTGTGGTGGCCCTTCTTACCGTGGTGATTCGAGTGTTTCGACTTATACCCCTTGTCGGCCTTTTTGCCCTTCTTGTTAAAGTGGTCTTCCTTGTGGCTAGCACCGCCACCCTTTTTGAACTTTTTCGATTTCTTCTTCTTCTTTTTCTTCTTGGACGCAGCCGTGTCCAGGTCTGCGGCCGGGGCACCGGCCAAAGCCAACGATGACGCGGCTCCCACCGTGTCTAGACCGAGGGTGGATGCGGACACTGCCAGCGGTGGTGCCGGCGCCACCATCATCAGCTCGGACGATGGCTGTGGCCGCGTGGCCGCCGCGGTAAGTCCCCCTGGATCGTCGACGGCCGCGGCAGTGCCGTGCCCCCGTGCATGGCAACACCAAACGCTCAACAGCACCAGACACCCGAACGCTACGCAGTGCATGGCTGTACAGTGTGCGCTAGTCGTTTTACCTTATATTTTATACACCGCCGCACTCCCACTAGCAAAAATGGCGACGACTATTGTGCCGCCACCGCCGCCGTCGTTCAGCCTCCGCAGCCGGTCGAATCGCGAACGTCTCTGCGTGGCTGCTCATCCACGTCGACACGCGGCGCCCGCTCACCCACACCGCTACTGCACTGCAATAGCGTCTCCCCCGACCTCGACGACCTCTGCAACAGGTCGCGGTGCCGACGTATAAGTCCCCTGCTTCTGCCCTCGCCTCACAATATATCTATAGGTAGGTCCTTACCGGCTTTATACTCATCGGGTGGAACGCACGATGTACCTATTCTTTGTCGTCACGAAAACTGAACACCCGAAGCCCGATCGACCCACAACCCGACCGATCCACCGACCCATACCCACTGCCGCCGCCGTCGTCTGTGGTCAGATACGAGAGTGTGCCGACCACCGTTGTGTGCAGTTTTTTGTTTTGCGTAATTTCACAACACGACTATTATAAAATAATATTATGCTAAAAAGTAAAATTCATATTTGTGTAATAAATAGGTAGGTATTAGGTACATATTTTATGGTTATTGGTTAGCTCTTGCGATTTTCGCACGCTTTGTGACCCGACGACGGTGTGAAACGAACAACGATTTACCGATCGACCTAATATCAAATTACACACATTATTCACTTGTGACTTTCCCGCGTCCTCGATCTACGTTTGAAAATTGAATGGAAACGCATCACCTCAAAATCAATCACACTATTTTATATAGAACCATTGACGATGGACTAGGAATCTCTATTTTATGTCTTACATAGGCAATATCGCAGTTGATTATTAACCAAAACACCTTGTTCTTGTTGTTGTTGTGGGAAAAACTTTTGTGACAATCATAATATTATATATTATGGCAAAAGTGTCCCTCAAAATTATGAAATATTATACATATTATTATTATCATAATATTAAAATAATCACACTATGTAATGCAGTCACAGACACAGAATAATAATGATATTATTATCTGCAGCCATTATGATTGTATATACATCGTATAACTACGTTTGTTTTTATTGAACAGTATGGAAAATAATGCAATCACAGAAATCGAATTGATCGATTCAAATGCAATTTTCCATTCATACTTAAAACATATCAATAATAATATTATGCGTTAACATAAAGAATAATATATTTCGATACAGGATTTATGAACTATGGAAATATTATCCTTTTTAATTTGTTCCCCAAAAATAGGGCACCCACCGAAATAAAAACAGGAGGCGGGATGGTTGGCAAAGTCAAAAAAGCTCTGATAACACAGAATATACAATTTTTTTGTTTTTTAAAGTGATAAGACAATTAATATTAACTAAAAGCCGTACCCCCCTCCCCCGCTCGGATTTCGGCTTTAGAATAAAAGCAATTAATGATTTACCTATAGGTTATTCTTAAAAAAAAAAAAAAATATCATGGCAGTTACTATTTGTTTGTAAAAATACACACTCTGCTGAATGGCATTTGGAAGTTAATTAACCTATGTTCAGACCAAAAATTCGTTGGTTTTAAGTGTTGGCGGTCGGGCCGAAACCAGCTTTTCTGTAGGTTACATTCCATCGCACTTAGCACGAAATTAGTAGACAGAAATCTTTTTTTTATTTGTTTACAGTTTTCATTCTTTTAGACAAATACTTTATTTTTTATCAACCGCACTTAAATTCAGAGAAATTGTTTTGAGACAGTTTAACACAACAGCCTATATATATGTTTTTTTATTGATCACAATACAACAAAGGCCATTAGTTACAAATATTTACAAAACGATATAAGATATTAGATAATGTGTTGGGTGCAAATAATACATGTTATATAATTAGGTTAGAACATTTTTTTTTTATATAAATACGATTGAACAATTTTGTTTGTTTTGTAAAATTAATTATGCCTAGGATTTTTTCTTGATTGGGTCCAAGTGCAGTGTCTAGGTGGTAGGAAATTCTATGGTCGGCGCGTTCTTGGTTATACATTAAACAACCGGCTATTATGTGTTTGACGGTTAATGCAGTTCCACAGGTTTGGCAAATGGGAGGATCCTCTCTGGCCATAAGGAAACCATGATTGATTCTGGTGTGTCCTTTACGAAGTCGGTTAAGAACCGTCTCCTTTTTCCGAGTGAGTTTTGGGTGTGTCCACTGGTAGATGTCTCTTTTTATCTCATTTAGTTTAGTGTTTTGTAAGTTCCAAAGTTTTTGCCATTTATTTTTAGAATATTCGTTTATGAATTGTTTCAGTCAGCATATGACATTTGGTTTTTTAGCAATGTTTCATTGTTGTTAATGGCTATGGATGCTTGTTTATCTGCTATTTCATTGCCTCTTATTCCTGAGTGGCCAGGTATCCACATGATGATGATTTCTTTACCCAAAAAGGAAGCTTTGTTGAGATTGTTCTGGATTTTAGATGCAATGTTGCAGGGGTTTAATTGGTTTTGTAAACTTTTTATCGAACTTAGTGAGTCGCTGAGGATGATGAATTTGGAGTGGGGTTCTTGGATTATAATCTCAGTAGCCATTAGGATAGAAATAATTTCGGATGTGAATATGGAGCAAATATTAGGTAGTTTGTGTAATACTTTTTTATTTGGAAATATTATCTAGAATCTTACTCCTTCATTAGTTTTTGAACCATCGGTGTATACTTCCTGGAAGTCTTTGTAGTTATCTATATATATGTTTATAACCTATATAAACGCATTACGTACCTATAGGGTTAGCTGTTAATTCCTACCTAGTATTATTGGACATTGGTATTAACTTATTATACTATTTGTAATTTATTGATCATAGTACATAATGTACTATTAAAAATAGGTTAGGTATTAAAATTTGTTCAATATAAAGTACGTGACCTGATATTATGAGTACATATTATTATAACTTATTAAATTTAGATCCTAAATATTCATTGCATGATAATTTTAAATAATTTCAATAAAAACTGTATATTCTATTTCTATTATTCTAAAATTTTTTTGAACAATCATTACCATTTCATGGTGTTTTGTTAATTTTGTATAATGTGGGTATGTACCTATCTAGTTTTAATGATTTAATAGGTCTTATATAGATACTTATAATTTATTAATATCCTTATTGTAATCATCAATCACTCACACTTCGATATTAAATATACCTGCAGCATGAGTCAATAAATACATTTAACATTTTTATAAATAGGCAATAATTAAAAAAAAGCCAAAATATTTTGAATGATATATCATATTTAGAAAGGCCTATGCATTAAGAACTTAGTGAAAATTCCAAATTATCGCAATCATTCCTAACTGAATATTACAACTGAAAAGCAATATCTTTTTTGTACCAGCAAAATTTCATAAATAATGCTATTCACCCCCTGTTTTTTTGTTCGATTTTTCTAATTTTTAAGAAGAATAGAGAAGATAATTTTTTTTTTAGTCTTCCTGAGCACTTATATTAACAACTGTGACACTATCAAACATTTTAAAAGAAAACACCCAATAATGTTGAAAATTGAAGCAACATTTTCTGAACCCAATGCATGTAAAAATAAATCACTCCGCTCAGAAATAAACGAATCCCTCCGTAACTTATTACCTATACAATACGTCATTAAACAATATTACCATATACCATTGTTCACAATATAGTAAACACTAAACACATAAGAGTTTTTCGATACATAAATACGGCGTTAACGTGAACTGTGTTTAAGGAAATATAACCTAACTTGAGTTTTGTATGTGCGCGTTGGATATTTCTATAAATCAGCTGCAACATAAAAATTAGTTTAAATAAAAAGAGCACGTTCAAAGGGATGAGCGAAGAAAATATCAACGTCAATTCGTAAAACATTTATTAGGATCACTTAGTAGTATGTATAGTAGGTAGTAGTAGTGTTAGTAACTAGTAGTAGGTAGTAGATAAGTAGTAGTAGACATTAGACAGTAGTATGAATATTGTATATAAAATTGTAACAGTAATAGACAGACTATTAGTCAATAGTTAGGCTGATGTTCTATTTTACCTGCAGAAAACGTATTTCGAGATGAATTTTTTCTTTTTTTTTTGTTATTATTTTCAGTCGATCCTCTCAGAATTTGATTTTGACCCATATAAAGTGAGATAAAAAGGTACGGAATCACTTCCCAGAAGAATAACGTGCGTTATATATATTAAATGGTAATATTAATTATTTTATCATTGTAAAATAGACATAAATTTTGATGATCTGACATTTTGATTTTACACATGATGTACTAGACTATTTGTCATTAAAATATATATTATATTAAACATACTTAATAATAAGAAATGGAAATTTAAGAATTGAAATAGGTATATTATCATAATATTGTAATATAATAATATAATATATTTAATTATGTTTGTTAGCGCATTGACTATTTATAACAATATGTCGTATGTCTTGTGGATGACAATGATTAATTCTGCAAACAGCTTATTCTGTAAATTTGTAACATGTTATTGAACTAAAATATGTATACCTACCTATATGTGTTTACTCAATATTAACTTTAAGTTAGTAAACAACCACAAATCATTGACCTTCGCAGAGCTCATAAAATTTTTTTCGTTTGCAATAATTACCTATAGCTTAGATTTAAATGCATAATAACCTCTGGAGTTCAACGAACTAATAATACGAACGTCCAATACCTATATGAAATCGGTGACCATTTAATTTTTTTTTGTTTTTTAGTGTAATTGTATTTTAATTAGATTATTACGAGAGGTGCATTATATAATATATTATTATAAATATAACTAAGGTAGCATAATAGGTACTCTTACAAGTCGTCAGTTAGGCATAGTTAGGCTAGATCGGTGTTTTATTTACCTATTGATTATAATTTTGAAAATATTTCATCTGTCTAATCATTATTAATGTACTTGATTTTTTAGTTGCGTCACCATAGTAAGAAAAATAATAATCTACAATACCTAATAACAATAATATTATCTCATCCGATGTGTCCAGTGACACGAAAAGAAAATTCGATGCGAGTAGTGCAAGACGTTGTCCGCTGCGACGATCGTGTTTTCTTTTGTTTTTTTTATACCGTTTTTCCGATTTTCTCGGCTGTTATATATATATATATAAATTATTATTTTTATAACTTCGGTGGTATTGGTACACTCAATTCGCTCTTTATTACGTTTTGAATTTTAATTAATGAACCAGACTGCTGTAGTATGTTTCGTTAAAAAGCGCTTCTTGTTTATAGGGAAAAATCGATTTTATTTTTCATATTCAATATAATAATATTTCTGTTATTACTTTCGTCGTGTTCAACAATGATTTGCCAAATATCGTAAAAACACGTTTCTCGTAAAACAATCAAATATTAATACAGTTATAATATTTTTATATAAACGAAGATTTAAAAAAAATTCTGATATTGTTTTATATTATATACACTGGAACGTGTAATATTTGTTTCCTTATAATCTTACGTAGAATTATATAATATATATAATTGTATATTTTATATAGGCATAACGTCATATTGTATGCTTCAAGTATTCATAATATTAAGTGTGACACGTTTAATATCTGAATTATCTGAGAATAAACTGTAAACGTTTTGGTAGTTATACAGATTGTTTGGGCTCCATAAATTTTGCATTTTCTTTATGCACGTAATTGCACACACGGTTAACACGTCTTCTAAAAATTAAATAAGGACTAAAACAATTAACAACTATTGCATTTATTAATAATTGTTCTAGTTTGTTATTGTACCTACCACTAACAAGATAACAGTTATTAATGAGTAATTTTATTTTGAACTTTTTAAGATTAATTAGATTAATTAATTATAATATTTTACTTGGCTGTTATATTCAATATTAAAATTTATCGCGAAATAACGGAGTAATCAACATTATAATCAGCTGGTGCAATTTTGGGATCTCCATATCATATAGTACCAATATAATTAACATTATCTAGGTAGTCAATATCAACCCTTAGTAACTCTAAAATACCTTCATGTCTTGCAACAAGAACCTTCTATATTATTCAGTGAGAAACGAGTCAAATAAATCCAACAATTCTATAGCTACACGTTATAATTTGTAATATCTTCGTCAATGTATAATTTTTAGAAAATCTAATTGCAGTAAAAAGAGACAAATTAAATCTAACTTGATTACACAAGTTAAGCAATTAATGTTTCAACGTTAAACACGAATAAAAATAACATTATCGATGAAAAATATAGTTCTTATACATAACAACATAAAAAAGGGGAATATTATAAAGGGCTTTCGTTTGTGATTTACAAAAATCTCTTAGATATATTTTACCATTTAAATAAAATAATTGACATAGGTAGTAACTGACAAAGTGCCTTTATTGGAAGGTTTCTTTAATCTGTCTTTTCAAGCCATAAATTCATCTACCATATTTACTTATTGTTCTAGCTAGTAACAGATTGTAAAACGTATTGTAAATAAAAAAAAAATAGTTATTTCAGTATTTCCTTTTTTTATATGTATATTCATTAAATATTATTTTAGTATTATATTATAATAGTCGATGGCATTAATGCTGGGAAACTGTCACAAGTAAATAAATAGTAAGTAAAATAATTTTTGAAGATGCCTATAATATACGATTTAATGGGATTAATGTTATACACGCATATTCTAATATTATAGTATTCATAAACTGTAAATAATGCGATATATAATATTAAATAGAACTACTTACATATTTGCATACCTACTCAGCAAAAATTCTGATGTAATGAGTTGCAGTACAAAATGTATTCCAAAAATATAACAACATTTTGTGTTTAAGAAAATTGTTTTTGTGACTTAACCATAAGTAAATCAAAAATTAAATAAACTTCTTCTTATTAATTCGTATTATAAATCAAATTCACTGAGTAAAAATATAACCCATTGACTCCCTCAGATTTGGTTTTCAGTGCTATGGAGAATTTTTTGGGAGCGAAGACGTGGAGTCGTGGAGATAATGATCGCGATGACCATTCCACACGAAAGTACGATACTGGCCAACGGGCAATGATGCGGTTCCCTTTCTGCATATATACCGTGGTAAACAGTATGGTAAGCGGATGACTCATGACCGAGCTGGTTAGAACCTTGCCAGATTTCACAGATGAATAGCACAGGCGCCGTCGAAGCCTTTCGGTCCACTCAGATTTTCAAAATAATTTTCCAGGACCAATTCAGCCTTGTAAGTTCATAGTTCATACAACGCTTTTTTAGAATGTATTGAATTTATATATTATAAGTATAAGACGTGTGTTCATCAGGGAGCTACTTTTGGTGAAGGGGGAGAGCGAGGAGGCAGCAGCAAAATTAGGGCCCCATTTATTACTGTAATAAAGTAATATATGATTTATTTATATTGATCAACATTAAATTATGAGATTACTTATATGGACTGGTGGTATAATTTATATGAGCGGTTTGCGTTTGGGCGAATTTTTAATAATTTCAAAAAAGTATTCTTATGGATTATCGTTACTTCATAATT